GTTTTGAGGATGATAGTTGACGATTATGGCATTTGTCTCAATTTCTCTACCTATATTTACTTGGAAATTAACTAATGAAATGAGGGTAATATAGGATTTTATTGTTGCAGTAAACAGAGTTAACAGATAAGGGTGTCAGTGTGATTTCAAATAATAAAAAAGAACTCAATGTGATTTCAAATGAATAAAGGGGTGTCAGTATAATTTGCCAAATTATTTATAAACAGAAGTGAAGAAAAAAGTTGCCTAGAATTTCAAAACTTGGGTTTTAAATTCTGAATAATTTTTAGTTTTTTTATTCAATTTTTTTAATTTGCAGTCCTGTAGACCCCACTTTAAGATGGAATATATTATTTTCATAGACAAAGAGCGCTTTATTCCTTTGATTATACCTGTGAAGCACTTCCATGAACAAATTCTGTGTGTTCAATCACGGAGATGGAGAGTACGAGGTATCAAATACTTGATTTTGCCCATTTTCCTTTGTATTCTTGTTGCGCTAGATTTAGTGGAGCTTAGAGAATGGGGTGCCTGCTGCTGTAGTGCTCCATGGGAGGGTCTTGGGTCTATTTTTATTGTAGATTTGGGTTTTTTAAGTTGGTAAATTGAAATTGAGAGAGAGTTTTAACTTGATAAATTTATTTGGGGACCAATCTCAATGATTTAAAGTGTTTATTTTTTAAGATATTTTGAATAGAATATTTATAATAAAAAAAATTAAAGATCACTACAACATATAAGGGTTTTAAAGACTAAATGTTTTGGTCACTAAAAGTAAAAATTTTGTTGCAAAAGACATTTAGGGATCAATTTCTATCGTCACAAGGATAGTCGCTAGGCCGTCTCGAAAAGTCAGAAAAAGGCTTTTAGCGACAAAATTTTGAAAATATCACTAATAAATAGACTTTTAGGGATAAAATAATTTGGTCTCAAAAATATTTATTTTTTTAGACAAAAAATTTGGTTCGAAAATGATAATAATTCATCACTAATATTTAATTTTCTTTGTTAAAAATATAATAACAACACTTTTCGCAACAAAAACATTTGGAGCCAAAAAAATAATTTTGTCCCTAAATTTTAGTCTCTCAAACCTTAATTTTTTGTAGTGGATGATCAGACATGGGTAACTATATGTTTGAATCACATTTATATTATCGAAAATTGATGATTATTATTCTTGAAATTGTATTTTTCGTTCATTTTTTAAAATAAATTTGATTGAAACATATAGCTAACAATATTCGATCATTTTGATTTTTACATAAACCACGCACCCAAGCCCAGCCCGCCCGACGGCGGCGGACGGCGGCGGCGCGCGTGGGGTGATTTTTGGGTCCAATGGGCCTAGCCCATAACCTCTCGCTCTAAAACACTTGGGTACCCCTTGGGGCACACCCCAAGTATCTCACCCTAAGCTTTATAAACCCTTTCAAAACTTCCCACCAAATCAATGTGGGACAAGCCAATTTACAACCTTAAGGAATTTCCACCAAAACTCCATTTCCATGGAGCACACTTTGGCTTCAATTTCCCATTCACTCGGTAATGGTTTTGAGCAACCAAATATACCACGTGAATCATAACGCGGCATAGAACGCGTTACCACTTTGACCCGAGTAAATCGACACTCGGGGCCCACCTAAAAAATAGACCAAACTTGAGGAAAAATAACCATTTCCAACAAAAAGTACCAAACCATTGTCTCGAAGGGTCGGCATTAGTGGTAGTTGGTGCTCATCTGGTTCTTGTAGCCCCATTTCAAGAATAGAAGAGAGAAGTTGTGAAGAGGCTGAGACTGTATCGGAGTAGTTGCCATTAGAGAGAGAGAGAGAGAAAGAGAGATAGAGAAATAGGTAGAGAGAGAAAAATGAGGTATCGATTGTGCCTATTGAGTATCAATCGAGTAATATGATTCAACAACGATAAAGATGATGATAAAGAAGAAGAAGAGGAAGAAGCAAGATGGCGGTGATGGCAGCAACGCGGTGGTGGTCGATCTCAATATAGGGTGAGGGTTTCGAGAGAAAGGAAGAAGGAGAAGAAAAAAAAAGAAGAGAAATAAGAAGATTCGTCTCCGACAACAATGATGCACGATCTGTTCCTCCGCTACCTTTGACATCCCTATCAAGACATCAGTGTCGGAGATGGAGGACAAGAGTAGGGTGTAGGTTATAGCGACGGTATAAGAGCCATAGAGAGAGAGATAGATGGGGAGGGTTCAATTTCAACACAAAAAAGGTCAAACAAATATAAGACTATCCTTGTAGACATAGTAATTTAGCATGTGAAGTTTTAGACGTAAGAAATTCAAAATTAAATTTATGAATTAAGTGGCCAACTAAAAAACTATATTTATAAAAAACAAATATATTATATATTATACAAATATTAAAATTAAATTATATATATAACATAATAGAAACTTAACAATACATTCTACAAATATTATATATTCTAAAAATCAACAACATATTATGCACATATTATATTATTATTTGTTTATTTATTATTATATTTACGAGTGAGGTATAAAAAAATAGTCCCGCATGTCTGACGCCCATCTTGTTCAAGTCTGCTTGATGCTTTTCCGTTTTTTCTGAACATCAGAGACGAAGACCAGTGTGCAGAGTTGGACTTCAAGTTCAAGACCAATCTCTCACATCCACATGTAAGTTTTTCTCATCCACTCAACCCCATTACCCTCTATATATGAATCTACACAACATGTATTATCTTCAACTTTTAATATTTGTTTCTACATCTACAATGCTTCTTCTTTTTGATTTAGTGTTCAATTTGCTTTAGTCTAGGGTTTAGGGTTTTTGATTTGGATAAATTCTGACGTGGTGGATTATTTATTTTTAATTTTTGTATGCCAATGAATTGTTAGAACGACATGGAATTGGGGAAATTGGTAGAAAATTGGTGTAGACTATACATATATTGTAGGCCAATTGTAAAATTAGCATTACTTTTACTGATCGAGATTTTAATAGTAGAAAAAAGCATTTTCAACAATGGAATTTATAAAGAATCGATTGCGTAACTGAATGGATGGTTATACCTTCAAAAGGATATATTTGATAGTATTGATAATGAGTTTATATTATGCATGGATTCCAAAATAGGTAACCTTGTCGAGTACAATTGTAAAAGTTCATATATTTGTTGTTGTTGTTGTTGTTTTTTTTTTGGGTAAAAAACAATGGCATTAATGTATTAAGATTTCTTTTTGTTTATGATTTGAGAATTTGCGAAAGTTTTGGCAGTATCCCACCAAACAAAAATTTATAGTGTGTGTTGATATATATATATATATGTTTTCCATTCTTGAGCTATGCATGTCAAGGAACTTCAATATGCAAAGATTAAATAGGTCTATCTTACAATCTTCCTTTGCATGATTACTTGGGACATGCACACACATGCGCATATATGATAAAACTTAACTATAATCATAATCGTGTTAGGAAATATTAGATGGAATTTTGGAATGTGGGTTTTTAGAGTCAACAATTATACATGGTGACTAAAATTTATAAAAACCTACTGGGAGATTTAAAAAATTATAGTAATGTATGTATGGAATCCATATTTTTTCTCTAGTATAATTTAAATACTGTTAACAAAACTTATTTTCTTGTTCAATATGATTTCATACCAATCAAATGAATCTAGTTTTGTGTGTTCTTATTGTAAGTTTTTTAACAGGTGATCACTAATGGATTTTAATAAGAGGTTGAATTAAATGTTGAGGCCATTATGAGGCATTAAATTTTGAGAGACAACTTTTATAGACCGAGCTTTTCAATTTTTTAGTTATGCCAGATTGAGTTTGGGAGGGCGATTACATGGAATATAGATTTTCTTAAAAATTAAACTATTATTAAATTAGACTTTATTAAAATTTTAGAAGGGCCAGGATCCTTTGACCCCCTTCCTCCACCTGTGTTAACATATATGAGTACATATTTAACCATTCTCCAGGGTGAAGGCAATTGATTTAGCTAGACCTAGGTTTTCCAAGTTTTGTTGATTTGTGTTTGGGAGAGATTTTGTTTGCATAGAGTTAGGCTACTTACAACTTTAGTCTCTCAACTATGGGATTTGTGCCGTTTTAATTCCAACATTTTAATTGTATTAATTTCATCCTTAAAGTATTGAATGTGTATTAAGGTGGTCTTATGGTTGATGCGTCAGCATTTTTTGTTAGAATTACGAGTTTTTTTAGAGGGAAAAAAAAAACTATACCTCAACAAAAATAAAAAGCCTTTTACAAATTGATACAATTGAAATGCTGGGGACCAAGATGACACAAAAGGCGTACTTTGGGGACCAAAAGAATTGACACAATTGAAATTTTGGAGAACAAAATGACACAAAGTGCACACTTTCAAAACCAAAGGTGTAATTTATTTATTATTTTATTATTATTATTATTATTTTTTTCTTAGTAGCAATTTTTTGTTACTCATGTTTATAATGATAAATACTGATGGCGTCAGCCATGTGGACTACTTTAACACACATTTTAATAAGTTAGGCACAAAATCGACACAAATGAAATATCGAGAATGATACAAAGAACACACTTTAGGAACCAAAACTATAATTAACTCTAAACATTTTTTCTTCATGCCTATCATAAATTCTCTTTATTCTCCTATCTCCTACTGCCCTAAGTTCATTGAAAAGATGTTTAGCATAAATGGTGCTGTTGTTGCTTATCTATAGGAGTCAAACACCAAACTCTGTGGATTCATGTATGCTCAAGTACAATTCACATTCTAATTAAGAAGCAAGAAGCATGCCTATTTGTCCAGGTTATAATTTTTATGGTTAATTCTGCAGTTTTCTTTCTTTCGTTTTTTTTGGGAGGAGATCATTCGCATAGATTGGTTACCTTATCCATGGAAGGCCTATTCTGGGGATCCTTAGCGACACAGTTCCCTGATAGTTGAATTGTCCAACTGAATTGGTGGGTGTCATCATGGGAATTGAAAATTCTTGGATCAATTAACTCATCATACTTCTTTTGTTTCAGAAATGGTTTTGCCTGTAAAAACATCATTTACATATTCAAGTGAGCAACCTGGTACAAATGAAATAAAGATGTGAAAAAGAAAAATTGTCTTAAAAGGGAGGTAATGGAACAAATAAAAGTGATGAAGAATTTGATGTGTAGTGTTGAAACTTTTGAATTTGAAACATGACACTCAAAAAAATGATTGGAACAACTCATGTGAGTACGAAAAATTTATAAAATTTGATAGTGTGTATAATATTACTCTAATCACATAGAGTATGTAGAAGATGACGCTCAGCAAAAATCTTTCTGCAAGTTATATTATTTATAAAACTTATGTTCTTATTATACTTTTCTCTTTCTTAATATACGGGTCTTCTTCATCAAGATGTGCCGATTGCATGCTGGACATGCTACCACCAGCATGTGAGTTGTGAACACTGTCATATTTCCTTGAATGAAAAAAAAAAATTCAGAATTTTTCTAGGTTTGTTTTCCTAGACTACAAAGCATGACACCGAGAGGACTTTGTTCAATACAACAGGACAAATACTATGTATTTAGAACTTTTATTTGAAAAAGTGCTTAGAATTTTAATTTATGTTGTAGATTTAAGTTTAGTATGACATGGGTCACACTCAATGAATCTGATCTATATATTTTAAATTTTAAGTACTTTTTTAAATAAAAATTGCAATTAGATAACACTACAGTTACAACAAAGGTCATGAGCTAGAGAGAGATAGATTGAGAGTTGTTGATCAAGTGCTAAAATCATGGAATTTATTATTGAATTGTGCGAGCATCCAATAAGACAATAGATGCCTTTCTAGCTATGTCCAAAAAGTGTTGCCCAAAACTTTTCTGAAACTGACTTAGCTTCACTTTACTTACTGTTTGTGCTCCTGTTTGGTAGAATAGACTAGCTGAAGTCAACTTGGGAGGTTTGCTTATGGAGAACTTATCAGGTGCTTCTAGGTAGTGCCCAACCTGAATGTAATTGGTTAATATAGTTGGGCTTTTATTTATTTGTTGGTGTTTTACCCAACAATGTCGTTTAGGGATGAGTATGGAGCATTGCTTAGGAACAACTAGTAATTTTTCCCTGCTTATTTGTATCAAAGGGATGAGTATGGAGCATTGCTTAGGAACAACTAGTAATTTTTCCCTGCTTATTTGTATCAAAGTTTTTAAAGGGGAATGCGTAACACGAGGCATTTTACTGCTCCCATGTGAGGTAAGGCGTAAGCCTTAAGGTGTCAAGCATAAGCATTTTGATTTTTGAATATTTATAACCAAACCAAACCAAACCAAACCAAACCAAGCCTTAAGTCCCATCAAATGGGATCGGCTACATGAATCCGTCTTCTCTACGCGGCCCTATCAAAGGCCATTTCGTTTGTCAAATTAAGTAGATCCATATCTCTATTTACAATGCTAACCAACGTTAATATAGGTTTACCCCTTCCCCTAACACTTCCATTTACTGTTACAGCATTGCATCTCTTCACTACTGCCTATGTTGGTTTCCGTTGAATATGACCAAACCATCTAAATCGATTCTCTCTCAACTTTTCTTCTATCGGTGCTACTCCTACCCATTCTCGAATACACTCATTCCTAATTCTGTCTTGTCTAGTCTTGCCACACATCCATCTTAGCCACACTCATCTTATCTACATGTTGTTTCTTGGTTGCTCAACACTCTGTCCCATACAACATCACCGGTCTAATAGCCGTTCTATAGAACTTACCTTTAAGTCTAGTGGGTATTCGTTCATCGCACAGTACCCCAGACGCACTTCTCCACTTACATCATCTCACCTTAATCCTATGGGCCACATCCGCATCAATCTCCCCTGCTGTTGTGATAATCAACTCTAAATAACGAAAATATTCACTCTTAGGCAGTTCTTGGTTTTCAATCTTCATTTCTCCTCTGCTTTCATTGTTATTGTTACTAAATTTACACTCCCTGTACTCTGTCTTAGTTCTGCTTGTCCGAAATCCTTTAGATTCAAGAGCTTTTCTCCAAATCTCCAACTTTGTATTAACTCCTTTTCTAGTCTCATCCACTAGCACTATATCGTCTGCAAAAAGCATACACCATGGCACGTCATCCTGGATGTTTCTCATCAACTCATCCATAATTAAAGTAAAAAGATAAGGACTTAAGGTAGATCCTTGGTGTAACCCTACAGTGATAGGAAATTCATTTATCTCTCCAGCAGACGATCTAATAGTGGTCACCACCCTTTCATACATGTCTCTAATCACATCAATGTAACCTTTTGTCACCCTTTTCTTCGCTAACATCCACCATATTATATCCCGGAATACTCTATCATATGCTTTCTCAAGGTCGATAAATACCATATGAATGTCTCTTTTCTTTTCTCTATACTTTTCTATTACTCTTCTCAAAAGATAGATCGCTTCCATTGTTGACTTGCTTGACGTTCTATCACTCTCTTCCACACTTTCATTATATGACACATTAGCTTGATTCTTCTATAGTTATTGCAATTCTGAACATCTCCTTTATTCTTATAGATTGGCACTAAAATACTATTCCTCCACTCATTTGGCATGTTCTTAGTTAACAAAATTTTGCTAAACAACTTAGTCAACCAAGTAACCCCCTTAAAATAGTAAAGGTGTAAATTAAATAAATAAATAGTATAAATAGTAAAAAAATAAAATAAAAATAAATATAAAGGTGTAAATATTTTTCTCCTCAAAGTATCAAACATTTCACTCTTATAGATTGGCACTAAAATACTCTTCCTCCACTCATTTGGCATGTTCTTAGTCAACAAAATTTTGCTAAACAACTTAGTCAACCAAGTAACCCCCTTAAAATAGTAAAGGTGTAAATTAAATAAATAAATAGTATAAATAGTAAAAAAATAAAATAAAAATAAATATAAAGGTGTAAATATTTTTCTCCTCAAAGTATCAAACATTTCACTGTGGAGAAGGAAACTCTCACTCATCAAAAGTGAAATTGACATTTTTGGCTTTAGTTATCGAGCTTCTATCTTAAGCCTTAACTTTGTGTTTTTTTCTTGATTGATCATTTACTTAATTTTTCCTATAAAATATAGTTGCAAAAGAAGTTCTTTTTTATGTTTAAACCATCTATTGGACTAAGTTTACAAGAGCTCAAAACAAACTCTTCATATGCGTATTTCTCATATGTTTATGCCAAAAAAGAGTACAAGGTGCACCTGAAACGCATGGCTTAAATTGTGATACGCAAGCCTTTTAGGAGTATCGCCTAAAAATTTAAGCCTCGAAGTGTTTTATCTTACCGTCGCCTCAATAAAGCCTTTTAAAACTTTGATTTGTATTGAGTGCATGTAGTGTGTGCTAGCTAGGAAGACTTTCTGTTGCCATCATGCCTATGTTATTTTAGTTTGGGTAAATTATTTTGTTCACACTGTTATCTATTTGATTGACAACATTAGAGGGGTTGGGGTATTAAATATCCTGTGGAACTCACTTGTTTTTGGGGTGTTCATCGTTTGTTTCGGCCATGAGACTGAGATTGACAGTCCAATGGTTTTGTAATCCCACAAAATGGTGGGATTACCAATACCGGCTAACTAATTTTCTAAATTACTGTATTTTTTTAAAAAAAATTTCTTGTTTCATTATTTACTTTCTTGTTCACCACTCTAGGCTAGGTTTCTTGGTTTGCACTATATTATAAGACTATAAATAGGCTTCTTATTGTAATAGCTAGACATCAATCTTAGTACAAATTTTTTATTTTTTTTTCTTTACATGGTATAAGTGCTGACAGTAGATTTTGTGTCACCCCTACCTGTAAACTGGCTAGCCCCAGTGGGAGAAATCTTAGTTGGATCTCAGCCATGCATTGGCTCTTCTCATTCGAATTTTGCCCTGTATCTCTCACTTATCTCTACTGAACTTTGCACCTTGTGCATGCTAGACTCTGCTGTTTCTCTGTCTCAGGCTCTTCTCATGTCACAAGCCCACACATTCCAATGTCAACTGTTGATGTCGTATTAGAATAAAGTCAAATCTCCATCGCACGACTCTATTTTTTATTTTCTCCACTTTCTAATTGCTCTCTGCAAACTCATATTAGTTTACTTAGTTTGAGGGTGGATTTTAATAAATATTTTTCAAAATATTGTATTTCCTTAATTTTTCTTGTTTTCTTATTTAGACATTCTTGTCCACCACTCTAGGCTAGGTTTCTTTGTTGGCACTCTATTGTAAGCCTATAAAGAGGCCTCTTATTGTAATACTAATAGCTAGACATTAACCTCAATATATGTTTTTTCTCTTTCCTATAATTCTAACAACCTCACCGTCTATGGTATTAATCTCATCATTCCACATTTTATGATAAAAAAATAGTACTTCGCTCTAATCTCATGCTATATCTAAACGTAGTACAAGTAGTTTGGCTTTTTGGCTAAAATAGCCAAAAAGCCAAAACACCCAATTAATCACTTTTTCTACTTTTCTATACGTCTTTTCGTAAAGATCCGAAAGACCTGACTCTCCCTACCAACTTGATCGATTCGACAATGTACGACCAGTTTCATCAAAGTATGCAGTCAAAATTAGTTTTGAAAACAATTTCTCCTACAGATCGGTTGGTGCTCGAGTTTGGAGTACCATCACCTGATTAAATCCGAACTGACAGAATGTTTTAATTAAATAAAACTTATGTGTAACTAGGTTATTGGAATTCAGATTACAATCTTAGAGCCTCTCCACCCGAGTTGCCAATTCTTAGGTGGCACTTTTGACAAGTGTATTTGACATGCATTTGTGTTCCATTTGAACCTCCAAAAGTGAGATGGCATTTGGCATGTCTTGAACAATTTCAATTTTGGCATAGCAAAAAGAAAACCAAATCAAACCAAACCAAGCCTTAAGTTCCATTAAATGGGGTCGACTACATGAATCCTTCTTCTCCACGCGGCCCTATCAAAAGCCATTTCGTTAGTCAAATTAAGTAGATCCATATCTCTATTTACAACGCTAACCAACGTTAATCTAGGCCTACCCCGTCTCCTAACACTTCCATCTATCGTTACAGTATCGCATCTCATCACTACTGCCTCTGTTAGTCTCCGTTGAATATGACCAAACCATCTCAATCAATTATCTCTCAACTTATCTTCTATCGGTGCTACTCCTACCCGTTCCCAAATACACTCATTCCTAATTCTGTCCTGTCTTGTCTAGTCTTGCCACACATCTACCTTCGCATTCTCATCTCAGCCACACTCATCTTATCTGCATGTTGTTTCTTGGTTGCTTAACACTCCGTCCTATACAACATCACTGGTCTAATAGCCGTTCTATAGAACTTACCTTTAAGTCTAGTGGGTATTCGTTTATCGCATAGTACCCCAGACGCACTTCTCCACTTACACCATCCCACCTTAATCCTATGGGCCACATCCGCATCAATCTCCCATGTTGTTGTGATAATCGACCCTAAATAACGAAAATGTTCACTCTTAGACAGTTCTTGGCTTTCAATCTTCACTTCTCCTTTGCTTTCATTATTATTGTTACTAAATTTACACTCCATGTACTCTGTCTTAGTTCTGTTTATTCGGAATCTTTTAGATTCAAGAGCTTTTCTCCAAATCTTCAACTTTGTATTAACTCTTTCTCTAGTCTCATCCACTGGCACTATATCGTCTGCAACAAAAAGAAGATGTCAAATTATTTAGTTTTCATTATTTTAATGGTAAGGGCCTATGAATGAAAGTTTTGAAAAATATTAAAGTAAATAAAGTTTAAAGTAAAATTAATAAAATAATAAATTTAACATATTGGGTGGAGTATTTTTTTAGATATGTCAAATTTATATATGTCAATATGAAAGTGTTGAAAAATATTAAAGTAAATAAAGTTTAAAATAAAACTAATAAAATAATAAATTTAATATATTGTGTAGAATGTTTTATTTATTTAAAGATGTCAAATTCATATATGTAAATTTTAACACCTAAGCCTTTAAAATATAAATTTTTTAAGATTTGGAAATGCTCTAATATCTTCAAATAACTCTTATGTCTTCTAGGGGTGTAATTTGGGCGGTCTCAACCCGAGCAATCTAAGTCCAGCCCGAAATTTCTTAGGGATTGGGCAAAATATTTTTAAATTTGGCTCGGGTTTGGGTAAAAATGCATAAGCTCAAATTAAAGTTGGGTGGGTTTAGACAAAAATATCAAACAACCATAATCCGAAACCCGAAATCGGAATTATATATATAAATATATAAAAATATTGAATATACATATAAATTATTAACCATTAGATAATATTAAAGTAATTTAAATCGTTAGATCATATTAAATATATATATTATATAAACAAGTAATACAATACAAAAATTCATTTATTTATTTTTTCTCACCCATAAATTGTAATGACCATCATAAAAACATCTCACTTACATTATATAAATTACTTATTTTGATATTATTAATGATTTTATATAAAATAAAATAAAAAAATTGTAAATAGTCCAATTTTAACAAATTAATTAACTTCGGCTGCCCTATTTTTTTTTTTTTTTTGAAATTTATTTCTGTAAAATATTACATATATAATTTTGTAAAACTCGGGTTTAGACGTACAACACTAAGTTAAAATTCGGATTTGAGAGGGACTTAGACGTACAACACTGAGTTACAATTCGGACTTGGGCGGGCTTGGGCGGGCTTGGCCTGCTTTCAGCACAACTTGGTTGGGTTGGACAACATCTCAACCTGTCTAAACTCACCTGAGTTGCATCCCTAATCTCTTCTCTCTCACTCTCCATCTTCTCTTTTTTGACAATGGCATCATCTAATCGGCAACCAATCAACCAATCGCGACAACAGCTACATTCAAAGCCTCTCTTCGTTTCCACATTCTGACTACTAGTTTGTGAATTTCTGGCTTTTGTGGATTTTCATCAACGATGTTCTATTTTCTAGTGTGACTGAAATGTAAAATCCCTAGGTTAGTGTATCTAACGAGCTGTGTGTGTATTGCGTAAACTGTAAAATATATTCCTTTGTTCTTACTTTATTATGATGGTTTTTTGGCTTCATTTTTGAATCTGTAGTTGGATAATCTGAAATTTTTTATTTTTATGTTGGGTTTTGTAATTTTGAAACTCTAGTATTATCAAAAATCCGCATCCCACAAAAATCATATCAAATGTGCCCTTAAAGTATTGTCCAATTCTCATTTTGGTCCTTAAACTGTAAATCTTCCCAATTTGGTCCTTAATCTATTGAATTTTTGTCAATGTTGTCTAGTTGGCTACTGCAATAACATTTTATGACAAACAATGCCACATGAACTTTTTTCACTTTGTCCTCTTAAGTATTATACACTTCCTCACTTTGGCTTTGAAAGTATACATTTTCTCCCATTTTGGCCTTTCGGTTTAGTGCCATATGGCATTTTTTGTCACAAAACATAATACGGTAAGTGAAGATCTAAAGTTATTACGTTAAGTGAAAATTAATCACTTGCTAGCATTTGCAAGAGTGAAAATTTAATACGGTAAGTGAAGATCTAAAGTTTAAAGTCCAAAGTGAAAATTAGGTAAGACGTTAAGAGTAACCAAACCAAACCAAGCCCCATCAAATGGGGTCAGCTAAGACGTTAAGAGTAAAAGTGTAATTTACCGTTTTAGTGTCACCGGCATATGAATCTATCACTTGCTAGCATTTGCAAGAGAATCCTAGATTTCACCTTGGAGAAGGTTTATTTGTATTTGGTTAATTTTCAGAAGTGATGCAACTTCATTAAGTTTAAGGACAAAAAACCAACTACCAAATCAATGACAAAAAATAATTTCAGCCATACACATCAGATGGTGGGGCCCACCATAAAAGTAACACTCACTCTCTGACAGTATTTTTTGTTATTCGTTTTGTAGTTGATTTTGTGTCCCAAAATGTATGATTCTATGTCCCTAAACGTATTGGATGTAACACTCTGATTTTGTGTGATTCTATGTCCCTAAACATATTGGATGTAACACTCCGAATTTTTACTTTTTATTTAAACAAGTGAAAATTAAGGGTGTAGTGCTTTGGTTGTTACCCATCCCAGTAGACTTTTCCCCTCAAGTCTATTATCCTTGGTAGTTCGACCTGTGATGAGCTCTAACAAGATGACACCAAAGGAGTAGATGTCTGTGTTGTATGATGCTTTTCCACTCTCTGCATATTCTGGTGCCATGTATCCAAAGGTCCCCATGACCCTGCTGTGGTCTGACTGATCATCTGATTCATATTCTGTTGTTGCAATTCCGAAACCTCCAAGCTAACAGATTTATTAGCAAACTAAAAGTTAGCATGAAACAAGTGCAGACAAACATTGTACTATACATTATTTCAAATTCTAAAAATTTCAAGTAATTACCAGTGGTTCGAGGTCATGGGTCACCAAAATGTTGTTTGTTGTGATGTCTCTGTGGATTATGTTGTTGGCATGCAGATGTTTTATACCTCTGGAAACTCCCAGTGCAATTGTCATCCTTGCCCCCCAAGTTAAAGGTTTGCTGTCTACATCATGTCACCAAATTCATATTTTAGGATAGAGAATGGCTTGACCATGTGGACTGGATCCTGTAGTTAGGGTTTCTGGACTTACCACGGGTTCCACTCCCGTGATCTGACCTGCTCATCTTTTAGACTTTTGTGTGTAGATTATACATAAAAAAAATTTAGATTGATTTGATAATTGTGTTCTATAAAATGGATTACATATATAATTTTGCAAATAGACTGTCTATTTTTTGATAAAATCATCTAGCTATGACTATTGAATCAATCTAATTTTTTAAGAACAATCTCCACACAGAAGCCTAAAAAATGAATGGATAAGATCATTAGAATGGAACACATGGCAGACCACTGGCCTGAACTGTGCGGTTAATCTACTTCAGTAGATTGGAAACAAGATTAGGATATTATTGTTAGTTTCTTATGAGCCACCCCATTTTCTGCCACCCTCTCTTACTGTGGCAGTGTTGTGGCAAATATTATTTGTCAAGGCAGAACTTAGTATTTTCCACAGCATGTGCCATGGCATGCCAAAAAAACTTTTTTCTATAAGTGAAAGTAGATAATTTGAATCGCATGCAGCAGAGAGATGTATGCTAGCTCTTACTTCTTAGACGTTGGTTGAGTGAACCATTGCACACATACTCATAGACAAGCAACCTTTGGCTTCCTTCTATACAGGATCCCAACAACATCACCACATTCTTATGCCTGGCTTTGTTGAGTAGTTTGACTTCCGAGTTGAATTTATTTTCCCCATGAAAACTTGTGTCTTTATGTTCCTTAATTGCTATCGCCAACTTATCTTTTAGTCGACCTCTAAAGATGGATCCATATCCTCTTCTAAAAATAATATTATCTTGGGAGAACCCATTTGTAGCAGCTTGAAGCTCTGCATAAGTGAAGTCCTTTTTCCATCCTCCCATATTTGCCATTGTTGGGCGTCTATTCTTACAGATTGTACAAATGGAATGATGATCATATGAGTGGTACTTCTCAGGCTTCAATGGTGGTGTTATCAGATCTTCTTTGTTGCTGCTTTGTGTTGAATCAATCTCATATTTATTAGGAATGCCATCTAAAGATGCCATTATTTTGACAGTTTCTATCCTTAGTTCTGTATTGTTTTCCCTTGGACTGGGATAAGGGGTGCCCTTTCTTGTGCTTAAAGAAGAACTTGTCGATTCATCAGTGCTTTCCAGGCTTGGAGTAAAATCTGTAGTTAAATTTCCCGTGTCACTAGGCTTATAATTAAGTAAATTGCTAAGATGTCTGTATGAGTTATCTACTGCACTCTACACAAATGATCGCTGAATGTTTTAAAGATTTTAAATCTAGGGAATGATATATATAGACAAATGAAGTTTCTAACCTGAAATTGTAGTTCACCATTATTTTACTTCCACTGAAGATGCAAAATATAAATCAGAAGTAAAAGCTTCTCCAAATTTTCATTTTCTACAAAAATATACCACATGATCAAGTATGTGTTTTGTGTCACTTTGGTCCTCTAAAATTTAATTTTCTCAATTTCATTCTTAAGAGTCAAGTGGGTTCAATTTTAGATGGCCATCAACATCATTAATGGAATAGTTATGAAATTCGCCTAAACCAAACCAAGCCTTAAGTCTTATCAAATGGCGTCGCCTGCATGAATCTTTCTTCTCCATTCGACTCTATCCAAGGCCATTTCGTCAGTCCAATTAAGGAGATCCATATCTCTATTTACTATATTAGTTCACGTCAATTTAGGTCTATCCCTTCCCCGAACACTACCATCTACCGTCACTATATCGCATCTCTTCACTACTGCCTTTGTTGGTCTCTGTTATATATGATCAAACCATCTCAATCTATTCTCTCTCAATTTATCTTTTATCAGTACTACTCTTACCCATTCTCGAATATACTCATTCCTAATTCTGTCTTTTTTAGTCTTGCCACACATTCACCTTAGCATCCTTATCTCAGCAACACTCATCTTATCTACATGTTGTTTCTTAGTTGCCCATCATTCCATCCCATACAACATTGCTGGTCTATAGAACTTCTCTTTTAGTCTAATGAGTACTCCTTTATCACACAGTACACCAGACGCACTCCTCTACTTAAGCCACTCCGCCTTAATTATGTGGACCACATTTGCTTCAATCTACGCAGTTGTTGTGATAATCGATCCTAAATAACGAAAATGTTCACTCTTAGATAGTTCTTGGTTCTCAATTTTCACTTTTTCTTTGCTTCTATTGTGACTGTTACTAAAATTACACTTCATAGACTCTGTTTTAGTTCTGCTTATCCTAAATCCTTTAGATTCAAGTGCTTTTCTCCAAATCTCTAATTTAGTGTTAACTCATTCTTTAGTCTCATCCACTAACATGATATCATCTGCAAAAAACATATACCATGACACATCATCCTGAATATTGCGCATCAATTCATCCATAATTAAAGCAAAAATATAAGGACTTAAGGTTAATCCTTGGTGTAACCCTATAGTAATTGGAAATTCAATCGTCTCTCCAGCAGGCGATCTAATAGTAGTCACTACACTTTCATACATATTTCTAATCACATCAATGTAACATTTTGTCACTCCTTTCTTCTCTAACACCTACCAGATTATATCCTGGGACACTCTATCATATGCTTTCTCAAAATCGATAAAACCATATGAATGTCTCTTTTCTTTTCTCTATGCTTTTCTATTATTCTCCTCAAAAAATAGATCGCTTCCATTGTTGACCTATCAAGCATAAACCCAAATTGATTCTCTAACACCTCTGTTATATCTTGCAATTAACGTTCCATCACTCTCTCCCACACTTTCATTATGTGACACATTAATTTGATTCCTTTATAGTTGTTGTAATTTTAGACATTTCCTTTATTCTTATATATTGGTACTAAAATACTCTTTCTTAACTCCTCTGACATTTTCTTAGTCAACAAAATCTTGTTAAATAACCTAGTTAACCAAACAGCCCCTTCTTACCCAAACATTTTCACGCTTAAATAGGTATATCATCGGGTCCTAAAGCCTTATTCAATTTTATCTTCTTAAGTGCAAACTCTATTTCAAAGTCCCTAATTGTACGATAGAACCTATTGTCCTGATTTTTCTTATTACTGCCTACTTCCTCCCCTTTTGACCTACCTCCATGTTCCCTATTTAACAACTTCTCAAAATAGTTCTTCCACCTCTCCTTAATCTTTTCATCCTTCGCCAACACCTTAGAGTCTTCACCCTTGATGCACTTAACCTGATTATCTTAGCAAGTTTGTATATTCTCTTCTCTCTCTCCTTACTATCTAGTCTAGTGTATAGGTCATCATATGCTTTCAACTTAGTCTCCCTCACTACTTGTTTTTCTCAGTTATGAAATTCGCCTATGGTTCTTAAAGTAATAACTTGTTTAATTGAGTAAATTACAAATACACCCCATGAGGTTTCCTTAAAATACGATTTGCCTTCTGTGGTTTTGGAAATTACATCTCGCCCCTTGAAGTTTCTAATTTCATAACAAATGGCCCATTTTATTAATAAATTATCAGTCAATTGACAATTTTTAATGATGTCAGAAATTTATTTCAATTAATAATTCAGGTAATTTTATCATTGTATAGGAGAGCAGTTAGGAATTTCATTTTTTCAGCTAATTCTGTTAAATAAAAAATCCTGACAGCGGGATATTTGTAATTTTTTAAATCACATGAGGCAATCCGTATTTTAAGCAAACCTAAGGGGTGTATTTATAATTTATCCTTTTTAATTTTATTCCTAAACATTGTAAGGCTACGCTTCGTCTTCTTCATCCATGTTTAGTGAAGTGACTAAATTGAAAATCTTGGGATCCAAAAGTGACACGGAACGCTTAGTTTATGAATCATAGGTGTGTTTTATTATCATTTTGTTAACAATTTAGACAGTTTGTTTGATATTCAACAAATTTGACTCAAATTGAAAATTTATGGACACAAAATTTAAATTTAAAGGACGACATGAAACATTTACTTTAGGAACCAATCCATGTTTTATCCTTTCTTTTTATCTTTTTGACTAGCAATAAGAGTCGATTTGTTTCTTTTTCTGTTTTTAGTGTCAAGGTTGAGAAAGATGCTTCTAATAGTGGAATTTGTGGCTGATGGACACATACGTAATGTCGAAAGTTTTGATGCTTACATTGTGGGAGATCTATACTGAAAAGATCGTGATCATCACCCCCTGAGGAACCTGGTATCATTTTGTCATATGTTAATTGGATCTTGGTATGACTTCTTTCTTTTGGCCCTCTTAATTTTTCAATGTTGTTATCACGCTTCATCCTTGATATCCCACATGAGAGTTTCTCCATGAAGTATTTCTTATCTTTCTTCATTTGCCTGTATAACAATCAAAATTAGAAGAAAAAGTATGCCTTTTGTTTTCTTCCTTTTGCTCTTTTTCTAGGTGCTATTTGATTGGACTATTTATGACTTTTGTTGTTTTAGGATTTTCTACCAGACCGTTTACTGGAGTTTCTTTGCACAACTTATGTGATAAAAATAACTTATAGAAGCTGAGTAAAATTGATTCTAAAGTTTGGGGGGAGAAGTTCTGCTTGTAGATAACCCCTTTTATTTAAATATTTTTTTTTTATGATAATTAAATAAAAAATTAACAATAGAAGTATGGTATGTGTCAGTACATACTATAGACAGGGATTTAAGGAATGTACACAAACACAACAAATAAAAGTGTAAACAACATAAAGCTATTATGATTTAAGGATGGCTTGTTTAGATGTGCATGTGAATTTATGTTTTAAGATTGGCAAAATAGGCAAAATTACCAACGTTGCACTTATTTACCGCCAACAATTGGGAAAACTTTTAGGCCACGTTTGATTGCTGTATTATTTTTATGGGATTATGCTGTCTAATTTTTTATAATTTCAAACTTTTTTGGGAAAGCTTTTAGGCCACGTTTGATTGCTGGATTATTTTGTATGGGAATATATTGTCCAAGATTTTATAATTGCTAGCTTTTAGTGCAAGCCTTCAATTTCATGATTTTATAATTTTTAAAAAGGTTTGTTTTTGCAATTATTTTGCCCAAGAAATTTTGGTTTTGGTTGTCATTTATTTTGACATGTTTCTTTAGTTCTCTCATATTCAAATTTGAGCTTAATTTAAATTTGTCATTTTTGATAATTTTATGATTTTTGTTGAGCTTGGTTAACATAGAATTGTCTGTTTCCCAAAAATCTAATTCTCTTTTCTATATTTTTAAATAATTTAAAAAAACTTTGCTTTTGCAATTAGTTTGTTTAATAAATTTTGGTTTTTGTTGTCATTTATTCTGACATATTTCTTTAGTTCTATTGTATCCAAATTTGTCATTTTTGATACTTCTATGATTTTCTTTGTTTTTAGCTTGATTAACAAAGAATTGATTGTTTTCAAGAAGTCTAATTTTAGTGTTAATATATATGTATATATATTGTTTATGATTTTTATTGAAACTAAATGAATTTTGCCCTGATGATAGGAACTGAATCTTGAATAATATTCTTTAATTTTGGTTTGTTGTATTGCTCTGGAAAACACAAAGACTAAAACTTTCTAGATTTTTTTATTTATTTTAAAAATAGTCAAGTAACTTTGTAGTGTCACTTATCACCTCTTAAAATGTAGATAAAATTCGTATCATTCTTTGGCATTCTATGACCAAAATAATAAATTCAAGCATCTCATTATAGGATAACCTCAATACAGTTATACCACTAAGCATGCATAATACATTTAGAGAACTTCAGTTAAATATATATATGTGTGTGTGTGTAAATATTTGCTGACCTGTCAAGTATGACCCATGTAGCCCTTAATTTAATGGCTTCTTCTAAGGCGACCACCTTTGGTGAAGGTCCTGCAACCACTTCGACCTTGAACATGATCTGTGTTTTTCCATTCATATATGTGCACAAATTTGAGTGATGCTTTTTATAAATTTTTACATTGTAATTTTCTGTTTAAAAATCCTCCTTTTTTTTTCTTTTCTTTTTTTTTTTACCTCTCCCACTTTTTAAGATGTAAATTTACTTTTTATATTCAAGTTTTGCTAACATATCATTCATAGAGAGAAGTACAATTTATATTTTTTAGAATTGACTGTTGCTAATGTAATGGTACTACAAACATAATCAACCACAAAACTAACTTCAAATCATGTGTTGTATGGGTCTTTGTGGTTGGTTCTACGACTGATTCTTCTCTAGCATTTCTCTTGCTGATATGGGCCTTTATTTTGACTGAGAAAGAGATAATGATGAGATTATTATTATTTTTTATTTTTTTACAAAGAGAGATATACAATGATAATGGCCTGTTATTTGTCTAATGAAGAATTTTTTTTTCTTCGTATTTAACAAAGTTGATTTTATGATAATATTTATGAGAATATTAATGTTTCTTTTTGCTCTGTTTTGTTTTGATATAGGGTTGAGTATAATGGTAACTAATAAGCTGTGAAGTACGGGTACGAGTACTGGTATTAGTAAGATACAGATACGTCGATATGGTTAAGTCCAGAAAAAGTAGGGTACGACTATAGCTTGGTATGTTTGTAAAAGAATATATATTTTTAATTTGGAGTAATACAAAAATTGATTTAATAGTTTAATTTGTTAATATTCAACTTACAATTAACATTTAACACCAAAAGTAAAGGTATAAACTAAAATTAAATGTCATTGTATTAAATAACTTATAAACTATAGCTTAATTTTGAATCATGCTAAGTATGAAACTAAAAATAAAAAATAAGTTTAGTGAAAGGAATTTTATCTCTGTAGTAGAAGAAAATATCGTTTCGACTGAGGTACGGTGTGATTTCAGTATATACTAGGTACGTCAAAAATTAAGAAAAAAATTTGGATACGTGTTTCGTATACCTGGTACATATGCAAAAGTACTATACGAAGTACTATACTCAGCTAAGTACTTGGTATGGGTACGACATGTTTGTCAAAGTACCCATGCTCCATAGCTAATAAGAGGTACAATAATGACAGAGAAGTTTGTTTGATATGTATAAATACAATTTAATGAGAGCACCTTTTGCCTACTTTGTTTTTGTTTTGCTTTGTTTTTTGTTTTTGTTTTTGTTTTTTTCTTTCAATTTCCTTTTCATCGATATTTTTATTTTTAGGTGATATATACATTGTACATTAAAAGTATATATCTATATATATAAGAACCACTTAATTGCTTGAGGTTCGTATTTTCTTTCCGATTTTGCCCTTTCATTTTAAATAATTTACTAATGGTGGCTTATATATTGAGTGAAGGTTTTTTCGTAATTACGCAAATATTCTTAATCAATTATGAAACATAAATCTTTTATTTTTAACAAATTACAAATACACTCATAAGGTTTGTTTAAAACATAAATCCATCCGATAATATTAGAAATTACACCTATCGTTTATTATAAATTTTAATTGAACACAATAATCAGGGGGAAAAAAAAAAACTATTCTCCTATGCAATAATAAATTATCAAAAATTGTTTATTGAAAAATATTTCTCATATCATTAAAACTGTTAATTGACTTAATGTTTTATTTATTAACAAAATGGTTAACTAAAAAATATTTTTCATATCATTAAAAATTATAAATTTACTTAATGATTTATTTATTAATAAAATTGGTCATTTGTTATGCGAGTATGATTTATGTATCAATAAAATTGGTCATTTGTATATATATGTATTTTCTTCTGCTTCTTTATTAGTTCAGTGAATTATCTTAATAGTTTTTTTAGATGGGGAATTATCTTGGTATTTGTTTTATATTTATCTGTTGAGAAAAGTTATACACCATAATTTTTTTTTATTTTTTTTTAAATTCGGAAGAAATGTCACAGATTCATAAATTCATCCAAAATGATATGGTAATAAAATTAGAATCTACATCATTATGTATATAACAAATCAAAAAATAATACATATCATACTACATAATTCTATCATATATCTAATGATTTATTCTATTCTATTCAATTTCATAGAACAATATTCTAATTTTTAAAAAATTATCAAAATACAAAACTTAAACATATTTTAATAATAATCCGTGCCTTGCACGGGTCTTTTTAAACTAGTATATATGTAAAAGCGGCCTTAGGCGAGCACCAAAGTTGCCTAATGGTGAAGCCACTACTGTTCTATTGCTCAGGATATTTTCATCGATCATTAAAACTTCCAGCTGTTACTACATTGGCTCTCATATGTGTGTGTATATATATAGAGAGAGTATAAATAGCTGTTACCAGACCTAAGGCTTTAGGTTCAAGTCTTGTTTATTTCATTATATAATTTTTTATTTATCAAAAAAAATAATTATAATCTAAATAATTACACTAATGGTCCCCAATGTGTGCCATATAGCATTTTGGTTTTTTATATTTAAATTGTGTGAATTTAGTCCCTGAAATCTGTTGCTAGTTAATTGATTATTTTGCCCCAATGGGTGTCTATGATTGATCCATAAAACAGCTTATTAAAATCCATATATATGTAATGATAAATGTTTTATATACTAACTACTATAATCCTTCATCATGTGCTTGTAATATAAGTATATACAGAGAGAGGTTAGTGATTAATGTAGCAGCAGCAAGTTTGTGACCTGTTATGACCTTTTTCTTTTGATAGACGTTGGATATCTGAGTAAGTTCCTCGTCGTTTTGATATTCTTTCTTCTTCTTTGCGATCTCTTCATCAACAAATTTCTTGTTTGTACTGAAAATTGAGCTATCGATTCTGTTTGTGTATCCCACTGGATGAAAAACCAAAAATAAAAAAGAAATTAATAAACAGTGCATATACTCCAAACAATTGTGTTGATGAACATATATATATAGAATTAAGCTTTTCCATTTGTTTCCTTGTATATAATTTGTGTGTATGTGCATCTCTCATCTAATGTGTGTGTGTGTGTGTGTTTTTTTTTTTTTCCTCCTAGAAGGGTGTCCGGGACTTTACCTTGATTAATTCTAGCTACATGTAATCTCTTACCTACGTATATACCAGGTAATTACCGGGGCATTGGATGGCCTGCTTCAGGGGGTGATGTGTTTTATTTTGTTTGGTTTTTTATTAATAGAAAGAAACATGGTATATAATTTGTTTTAACAACGTACTTGGATTATTAAGCTGATGAATAACTGAAAGCAGGGTGATTGTATCTCCCTGTTTAAGGGATAACCCAAGTAGGACCCATTTGACTGCTTGCGTACTAACTTCTTTCGATGCATCCTGAATCACCACCACCCTTTGACGACTTTGACTTTGGGCTTCCATCAAAAACTTATATGATGATGGTAGTTTAATTTCGTTGTTCAAATCTTTCACAGTTTCACTTCACTTGTATAGAGAGAGAGAGAGGGAGAGAGAATAGATTTAAGGTGTTACGATAAACCTAAAAATTGTACAAATATATTTTCTTTAAAAAAAAAAAAAAAAATCTTTAGCCCAAAGCCCCTGAGCTATGTGTAGGTACAGATTTAAGGATGAAACTGCATGATTGTGAACCAAAAGATAGATTTAAGAAAAGGCCATGTTGAACAGACTAACTTGACATGACAAAGATACTGAAAAAAAAAACAGAAAAGCAAAGAAAGAACAGAAACTCAGCAAAATTAACACAGAATAGATGAATGAAGAAGCTAGGAAGTGATTTTAAAAGGACTCAATGGTGGTGAAAGCAGGAAAACATGTAGTGTGAGTTTGTTGAGGCGCATTGGGTTTGGATATGCGATGGCAATTTGATAGCATATGTAATGCATTGCACAGAGAGAGAGAGAGAGAGAGAGAGATTGGTTTTCAAGTTTTGGCTGATTGTTTACTTCGTTATTTTCAATGCCTAGTTAATATCTTTAACTGCTATTTTTTCGTGGCTTGGTTTGGCTTTGTGTTGTTGCAGGAAAGGACAGGTGAAGAGAGTTTATGATGAAAACAAGGCTTTCCCTTGTGTTTAATTGTCATCGTTCTTTTCAAAAGATTCATATCAATGCTTTTTGCATCGTTCTTTTCGAAAGGTTAATGCCAATGATTTTTGCTAGAGTCTTGACATGCACAACTAGGCTTGGCATCTTTGCGCCAGCAGGATGACTTTGACTTATTTATTTTATTTCATTTAATTTTTCTTTTTTTTGCAGCGAAATTTTATTTACAAAAACAAACATTGTCTAATTGCTGCGCGCAGCAGGGACTCTCCATTTCCCTCAGGGTGTGTTTGTTTAGACGGACTGGATAAGGGGGATTGTAATCCATCGGACTGTTAGTCCTGGGATACATTGTCCTGGGACTATTTGGTTGGATTGGATTTGTATCCTATGTTTGTTTAGTCATGGGATTAGACGTCTGGATTGGACTATTTTTAGTAAATCCAATGTTTGGTTAGACGGACTGGATAAGAATAAATGTTCAAAAGACAATTTTACCCTTATAATCTATAATTTATAATTTGACAACACTAAAAAAATTTAATTTATAAGGCCACAATTTTAATTTATTATTTTCAATTAAATTAAATTTATATTTTATATTTTTATTTAATATATAATTTTAAATAACGACAATAAAAAAATAATTTTATTTAATATATAAATTAAATTTTCAACAACACTAAAAAAATTTAATTTATAAGGCCATAATTCATAATTTATTATTTTTAATTAAATTTAATTTATAATTTATAATTTAAATTTTTTATTTAATATATAGTTTTAAATTAACAACACTAAAAAAATAATTTATAAATGTTCAAAAGACTATTTTATCCTTTTTTAATTGTTCATTAAGTAATAGCATGGAGGGTAAAATGGACATTTTACAAAATAATTTCATGGGATACCAATCCCATGGTTTCTATCCCACATCCCCCCATGGGATAGGATAGTCCCATGTTTGTGAGACTAATAGTCCGGAGGGATTATTAGTCTGGAGCAAAAATTTTCAAACAAACAATGGACTATTAGTCCGGTGAGACTAATAGTCCAATCTCACCTTCTTATCCCTCAAAACAAACATACTTTTCATAACTTGACGAAAAATATTCGGATATGTAAAGTCCGTAATCCAACAATAATTCAAAGTAGAATGGACTGCAGAACGAACCAAATAAAAGTTCTTGTGAAAATTGTATTTTAATATTTTGAAAGGGTTGGGAGTTGTCATTTTTTTTTTAGTTGGCTCCAATAGGGTATGGTTTTGGTTTTGGTTTTGGTTTTGGTTAGGGGTGCAACTTAGGTGGGTTTGGTTGGGATGGAAAGTTGTCTAAGTCCAGCCCAAGTTGCACTGAAACCTGTCCAGCCCGAATTATAACCCGAAACTGCCTGTCCAAGCTTGACCCGAGTTAAACCTGAATTGCCCGAATTGTAAATGAATTTCAGGTTTTTTTTTTTTCAACTACATTATTAAATTAATAAAATTTGCCTCTATTTATATTTTTTTTATATAGAAAATCATTATTACCACCAAAACAAATAATTTATATAATGTAAGAGATATGGTGCTATAGTAGTCCTTACAATTTATAAGTAAAAAAAAAAAAAAAAGTAAGATTTTATTTTATTCGTATATATAATAATATATATTCAATATGATTTAATAATTTAAATTACTTTAATATAATGTAATGACTAATAATTTATATGTATATTTGATATTTTTATATATTTATATATGTATAATTTGGATTTCGGGTTGTTCGGATTGTTTGACGTCTTTGTCCAAATCCGTCTAAATTTAATTTGAATTTTTGAATTTTTACCTAAGTCCGTACCGAATTTAAAAATATCTTGTCGAAACCTTAAAAAAATTTGGACTAAATTCGAATTGTTCGGGTTGAGCCCGCCCAAGTTACTTGGTTTAACTTCATCAAAAGATTTAAGTATGAGAGTTAAAGGTACAAGATAAGAGGCATCTCATCTCGCCTGCTTATAAGGTTGGCCTTTACAAATGGTAGTATATAATAACAAATAAAGATGAAATAATTAAGATAGTTGGGATAAAGACAAGATCTATGGTTAACCTTTTAAAAGTCAAGTTATTGCATAGGTCCAGTGCATTCTGTGATTGTGTGCCAGTCCAATAAGGTTTTGTTATTTTGTCCATATAATTTCCTATTTTTTTAGACCATGGAAAGATTTAGCTCAATGCTATTGGTTGTATGCACAATCCACATGGTATGTCTAGAATGCAGAAGGGTTGTGAATTTGTTTTGAAGGCAGTTAAAAATTGGTCTCGCGGACCGAAATTATTTATCAAAAAGTCCTATTTATAATTGTAAAAATATTTTCTAAACAAATACAATCTAGTTTACACTTTTCATTCTATATTTTCATACTGTCACAAATAAATTAAAAATAAATAACAATTCACAAATGAAAGTCAAAATGTTTTAATTATCTATCACTTTAATAAACTGATCAATATCATTACTCATCAAATGATCATTTCACATACACAAAACACATCTAAAGTCTTAAAAAAAAATTAATCATCAAAATGGACAAATACATGAAAAAAAAACTATAAACTCATGAACAAATAGGTCTAATCAATGAGACCAGTGAGTAATCATCCATTTATATGATCATTTATTAAAATTAAGTTTCAAATATTTTGAAAATTTGTTCATTATTTTAAAAGAGAGTCCCAACTTCAATTTAAAATGAAATTGGGGATTCGAGTTTATTTTTGGGTATGGTATTGTTACAAAATTGGATATATTTCAAACAAATCATGCAGAAATTGATGTAGGATCGAATCGGGCAAACTGAGTTTAGGGTTTAACCGGCCCTATGGGCACGGTCGGACCAGCCCTAGGGTGAAAACCAGAGTTAGCCGGCCCTATGGGGCTGGATATGGCCAGTCCCATTTCAGTGTTGTTCAGATCAAATCCCAAACTTTTTCTGCACAAAATATGACTCAGAAGGATGCAAGAACACATTTAAATATTCAACAATGATTCAGGGGTGTTCAAACTCGAAGAAATGGTTCGACACTTTGTGTTAAAAAACACAGCAAAAGTTGCACCCAGCAAAGATTTCCACATTTTTGTAATTATTGGCCCCACCTTCCACTGATTTGTAGTTTCCCCTATGGGCAGATAGATATCTGTCAAAAGAAACCATTTCTATAATAGTCTAAAAAGGCAACAATAGATGGATTTAAGTTGAGAATCACTTTTGTCTCAATACAGGACATTCATGAATAGAGAAGGTTTAGCCCTTGCTTCTCTACATCAACAAATTGACTGAAATCATATTTGAGGATTAGCCAATATTCAACACACAAGGCTTTTGGGTTCTCTCTAGTTTTTAAACAATAATTCCAACTCATTATCATTTTCCCAAATCCACAAAATATAATCTAGGAGCTGATTTGTAGTTTCCCCTATGGGCAGATAGATATCTGTCAAAAGAAACCATTTCTATAATAGTCTAAAAAGGCAACAATAGATGGATTTAAGTTGAGAATCACTTTTGTCTTAATACAGGACATTCATGAATAGAGAAGGATTAGCCCTTGCTTCTCTACATCAACAAATTGACTAAAATCATATTTGAGGATTAGCCAATATTCAACACACGAGGCTTTTGGGTTCTCTCTAGTTTTTAAACAATAATTCCAACTCATTATCATTTTCCCAAATCCACAAAATATAATCTAGGAGCATTTCTAGTCAATGCTAAGCCCCTTCTGCCATTGTCCTCTTTGATGTACTGATGTAGAGTACTGCATCAAGACAAACTATAGTCACTGCCATCGCTAACAAACAAAATATTAATGAGGAAATATTTGTCTTAACTATCAATTACCATTATTTCCCCGAATAAATGCATCACCATATTTATTTTTCAGCTGCCCGTTGACATACTCTTCTGTTTGCTCCATAGCTATATTCATGTATCCATCCAGACAGGCTAAGATGCCTACACAATAAGATGAACTGCATTAAGATGGGCCTTCATATATGCGTTGATATTAGTTTTATAAGAAAGTGGGCAGGTACTGAACCACCTAAAGGCCAAAAGCATCTCAAATGTTTAGCAGATAGCAATACCCAAAACAAGATGTAGTGAAGGCTAGTGAGAGGTGAACAAGGGCAAGCCAAGAACGGTACAGCCACCAGTTTCATGACTTCCACAACTCTCCAGGGAATAACACCACCTTTAGGGAATCCACAAATCACTGTGAATGCAATGCATTGAGCTACAGACATTTTGTTTCTTTCTTTATAATGTATAGCAAACATGCAAGTATCAGATCTTCAACACCCAAGCAGAAAAAGTCTAAGAATGTACCCAATCTTCCCAGTAAAAAACTTTCATCATTTGTTAAGCCACACAAATTTCAAATGCATACTTGACAGTTCGTGGGTCTAATGGGAATGTCAACCAGCAGATTACACCCAAAATTTTCTACAGAAAATAGATACAAGAACATGCTGAAGGAGAGAGAAGAGAGAAAGGGTTGTTTGATTGCACATGTGCTCTATATGAAAGACTAATAGTACTAAGTACACAAAAAATAAAATAAACTCAAAAACAAACAATAGGACTCCTGACCCATAAAGTAGCAGGGTCATGTTCAAAAGACACAAATGCAAAGAAAAAAATTGAAAATCTCACTACAGTAAGATATTCATGGGCCCACCCCTCTCTTTTCCATCATAAATATTCCACGAATGTGGATTCCGATGGGGGTGTGGAATAAAAATTACACTAGTTTGGCAATCTCATTCCACCACCAAAAAAGAAAGAAAAAAAACCCCACAAAAAAAACATAACCTAGAACTTTGCATATATGAAATGAACCCAAAAGATAAATGCAGAAGACATGGGATCATATTCACATTCCGCCTCAACATTCCTGCCACCTAAACATAGCCTATATTCAACATGTCAAAACTAAAGAAAAAAGATACAAATCTCAACAGGTAACAAACGGTAGCACAAATAATGTCATTAATATTTTTTCTCCTTAGCACATGCCTAAATGAGGGAAGGATCACATTGAAGAAACTACTAATTATGACGATGATCTGTTTTATCAACGGCCACATAAAGCTTCTTACACAAGAATTAAAATTTCCAAGAGAAACAACGGTGTTTTGTTTATTTGGCCTCTATTTTATTTTATTCTCTGTTTATCAGTTTATTTTTTTGGATGGGTTTCCTATTCATTTTTTTTTTCCTTCTTGGAGGGAAGTTGTGTTTTGATTAACCTTGAGGTGAACTTTGTTAGGATGAAGAAATTCGTTTACATAATTTGTTGGGGTGTTTACATAAATTGTTATGGTACACTAAGTGTTGATCACAGTTTGAAGGATGAAACCAAATTTTGTTGGTGGTTACATAGTGCAGTGCCATGTTTTTAGGCAGGAAACTGGCCTGACCTCTTATACAAGAACTACTTTCTGTACAGAAGCATGTAACAATGGTTGAAAATGCATCAGTAAAAAGACAAGAAAGAAAGAAGTAACCATATAAAGTGAAGGATGTCCAAAACCTAGCCAGGCTCTTTAAACTTCATGATGATAATATCTAAAAAATTTGGACAACCTTCTCCACTAATAATAATCAAACAAAAGATTTAAATCTATACACCAAATAAAAATCAGAGAAATTCAAAAAAAAAAAAAATTCATAAGCACACTTCAAAATAAACAACAAAAAGAAACCAAGTAGATTAGTCATAAATCTTTATTGCTGACTGATGTGATCCACAAAATTATAGAAAATCTAATCCTTCTGCATGATCCAAAAGGAAGCAATGGATAAATGAGAAGTCGGACTCCTTAACAGACCCATGTTTTATAGAAAGCAAAATTGGTTGAGCAGTGTTCTACCAAACAGCAGAACACAAAGATACTACTTTGACAAAGCAAGAAAGTTTTAAAGTGTGGAAGAGTGTTGAGGTGTCAATCTAGTTACTTGGTCTTGAGCCTTTAGGGAGCTTGTGCCTACTTTCAAACAAAAAGGGTGGGAAACTACATTTTGGAACCAAGATTACAGAAGAACATCTGAAGGATGTGAAAATGACAGAAGGACCTCAGATGCATGGACACAAACACAGGTACGAACACGACAGACATCAATTTTCAAAAAATTAAGATATAGACACGGATAAAATACCGCAAAAATTTATTGTGTATACATATGAGAAGCATGGATGTATGGGTGTATTTTTATTTTTTTTCTATTCCTATTTATTTTCATATATTTTAATTTGATCCCAAATCAGCTTTCTTAAAAAAATTATAAATAATAAATAATAAAAACCTACAAATTGTCCCAAGGCATAATAATTAAAAAATTGGCACACCATGTCACATGTCAGACACTCATGTCCCTGCCGTGCCAGACAAAGAAACAGCACAGAGTCAATGCTTCTCTTTAATATCTTTCTTATCAAGCCTTAGAATAAGCTCCAAAGTGCTTCTATTTACACGACAAAAATACCTCATTACACCCCTAAGTTTACTATTATTTTCTAAAACAATTATATCCCTATCTAAAATTACTAAAAAGTACTCGAACCATAAAAATATAAAACCCCAATTTCTCATTCAACCCACCCATTCCCCATCATCTCTATCAAACCACCACCACTACCGACCACTGCCACAACCTCTCACTTCCTTGCGCCACCACCCAACCACCCCTTCAAGCCCTAGATCTGTCTCTTGCACGCACGACATAGGATTGCAAGGGTGTGGGTTAAGGATAGCAGTGATTGTGAGGGCGATGGTTGCAGATGTAGGGTGTTATAGGTTTGTAGGTGTAGGGGTCATGAGGTGTAGGGTTGCGGGTGCAATGGTTGTAGAGGTAAAAACTTAAAGGGCAGTGGTTGCAAGGGCGGTGTGGCTAAGGAGAAGGGGTCATAGTGGTAAGGGTTCCTAGGGGGCGTTGTCATAGTGGTAGAGGGGGCCGAGAAACGGGGTTGAGTTGGTGGGGGCTGTGGAGCGGCTAGGTTGTGGTGGTGGGGTCTAGGACGCCATAACTGGCTTGAGAAGTGCCAAAAAATTAAAGATGAAAAAAAAAAAAAGCCCTTGGCACGAGCACCTCCCGCTAAGGCTTAAGGCAAGCGCCTTTGTCGCTTAAGCCACGCTTCTCCACTTTGCCTCGCTTCAACACCTTTGAGGTGCTATAGGCAAGCACCTCAGGTCGCTTTTCACAACATTGAATAGAACATATTTTATTCTTGGAAAAATTACGAAAATAACCTTAAAGTTTAACCCTCATAAGTTATAACAAATTAAAACCTATATATTTAATTTTTTTAGATTAAACCCTAACTTTTTAAATTGATAACAATTCAAATCTTCCGTCCATTTCCGTTAACTTGCTTAACAAAAAGGGAAAAAGAAACTTTTGTACACGTGGCAATTTTTTACTGGCTCTTTTAATTTAATATGAATTTCAACTTCCAATTTGACCACAATAAATTACAACCATAGTTGATCAATCATAAAACATCATCAACACCGCTTATTTTAATCCTATCATGCACTAGACCACACCAAATCAATCCTCTTCAATCTCTATCATTAGAACGTTCTAATGGCTACCAATCTGTATCTCCTTCCCCTTCACAACCCCCTCCATCGTCCTTCACTGATGCCTCTCACTCCCACCACTGTCCCACCCTCTCCCCTTCCAGAAATCAGAAATCCCTAATAAAAAACCAGAAATCCCTAATTTGAACAAATAGAAAGAGGAGAAGAGACCTAAATCCTAAATTAGAAGAAAAAAAAGAAGAGAGAAGAGAAAGAATATGTTCATCAACGAATCCTCATTCGACCGATCTCTCCATCGAGCTCCATCACCTCTCGACCTAGTAAGCCTCTTCTCTCTCTCTCTCTCTCGTCTTCTTTATTTTTTCTGATTATACTATAATAAATATATTATATATTTTTATTTAATTTCTCTCTCTCTCTCTCTCTCTCTCTCTCATCTTCTTTATTTTTTCTGATTATACTATAATAAATATATTATATATTTTTATTTAATTTTTTTCTTTATAAATTTATATATTGTATAATAAATTTTATTCTTTTCGGATTTCTTGAATAAAATTAATTTATAATGATTTTTATTAATTTTGATTATTTGGTAACATAATATTAATTTACATTGCAAATATATATATATATATACATAATAATTTGTTGTGTCCCCTGTTGTGTCCGTATCTCTATTTTGTTGAAATTATCATGTCTCGTGTCCGTGTCCTTGCTTCATAGCCTGGTGGTCCCATTTGATCTGAGTCTTGGATGGTAGCTCAAATTTGAATCTTAGATGGTAGATTCAGATTATTTAGATTTATAATATGCTCACACAATATGGGTCTTTGATGGTAATATAATCCCACAAATGATTTGAATTCTATGTATTGGACGAAAGTATCACAGAAGATGCAAAATATGTATATGGAATGTGTATATATTATATGCAAGAAAGAATGGTATAAATTTACAAAATTACCCATTTTTTGTTAGTCTAGTTAATGGAAGCCAACATATGATTTCGATTGGGACAAATTTAGAAGATCGCGGTTTTAGTTGAAACAACTAAAAATTCAAGGTTTGATTTGTTATTAGGGTCAAATCTTAGGGTTTTGTGTGTGTGTGTGTGTGTGTGTGTGTGTGTTTCAAACCTAAGTTGTTCAAGAAGTATTCTATGAGCAGGTGATGGCCTACACAAACAGAAAAGGAACATAAAATTTATAATAAGCAGCAAAAACATATGAATATAAACACAAATGATAGTGGGAGAAATGAAGTCACCAACCTCGATAATCAACACCGGAATTCAATTTGACAACAACAGGTCGCCCACGAATTGATTTGAGAAAATCTGCTGGAGTTTTTGTGGTTGTTGACCCTTTCTCTCCCGTTCCACTCATCTCTTTTGTCTCATATGTTACAACTTGCTTATCAGATGATAGAATTAACAAGATATAGTAATATGATGTATGCAACACAAGAATAGCATAAGAAAAATTGGCAGGTATTAATTAGGCAAATATATTTTGGCAATTCCTACAGGTAGGACCGCAAATGAACCGAGCAGTTCGTGAGCTCAGCTAGTTAAGGGCTCGGCACAACTCGGTTCGTTAAGTAAATGAACGAGCTTGAGCATGATTTTTAAGCTCGTTTAGTAAACGAGCCGAGCTCGAATAAGCTCGCCTCGTTTATCTTTATTTAAATTATAAAATATGTATAAATAATAGCACAACTATATTATTTATATGTTAAAATAATATAATAAAAAAAAAATTGCATTATTGAGCTTCGAGCCAAGCTGAGCTCAAGCTCAATTAGTTATCAAGCCGAGCTCGAGCTCGAGCTGAATAATCGAGCTCGATAAACAAATGAGCCGAGCTCGAGCCCAACAAAGCTCGACTCGGTTCGGCTCGACTCGACTCGACTTGCAGCCCTACCCACAGGATACAGCAATCTCATAAAACAAAGAGATATACATGTCAGCAAATAAATGGGTTGACATAGCTATTAGGGGAAGAAATCCTCAATTCTCAAAAAAGCTCTTGCATAGATAAACAAATTTAGCAACTTACTGTAATGGATAATTGTACACATACCCATGTTCAAACCAAAAACAATAATCCTTATTCCAAAAATGCAAAAACATAATTGCAATTCATTTACTCAGCAATATCATTTTTAATCAAGTTCAAACACTCAACTCCACCATGAAAGCCCTTAAAAACATCCATCACATTCCACAAGGCAATAATTCTTATAGCACCATATTGTTCAGTAAAGTACTGAACACCCTCAATTTCTCTTGATTCTTGATATACTAAAATCATGAAAAAGTCAGCTTAAAACCTGGTTTCTATAGCCACTATAAAAATAAATAAATAAATAACGCAAAAAATTACTGGACAAAAATTGTCCCAAGCCACCTAAACCATACTACATCTATCACGATCTAAGAAGCACGAGTGTGGATATGGATATGGATACGGGTATAGATACGGGTATGCCGATACGGCAAATTTTTAAAAAAGTAAGGTATACGGGTACGGCTGGGGTAGGCCATTTTTTTTTTTTTTAATTTTAAATTTATAGCTAAATATCCAACATACAAATTAAAGTTCAATACCATAATTAAAAAGAGAAATTATAAAAAAAAGAAAGTAAATCATACCAGCTGTTTTAATGTCATTATTACACAGAAATAGAATAGAAGAAATTAGACAAGAGAGTTTAATGCCAAACAAGCTAAACAAAAATAAAAGAGAACCATTAACAAAATATAACCATTAACAAGCTAAACTCATATTCCTATAATATAACCATTAACAAAATAATTTGTGAATTCTTTAACTTCATTTCAGTATATAACTTTTCAAATATTTAAATAACATTTTTTTTTATTGTGTCTACTACAATCTACAACAGTAAAAAGAGGGCAAAGTTAAACAACAGAGGGTCATTTTACATTACCTTCTTATTTTAAAGATGATTACAGAGAAGGCTCTAGACTTGCAAGTTGCATGAAATTCCAGTGGCTGTGGGAAAAAAAATAAAAAAATTAAAATATATATCAGCAAAAAAAATGAAGGAGAGTTGAAGAAAAAGGAAGAAGAAATCTGGACAGAACAGAAATCTGGAAAGAAAAAAAAAAGCTGGACAAGATCAATTTGTTCTTCGTTTGCTGCCAAGAAGGAGTACAAAAATCTGGAGAAAAAAAAAAATATTGAAAAAAGAGGAAACAGAAATCTGGACAGAATCTGAAAAAAAAAAAAAATGACGTGTCTTCGTTCTTCGTTTGCTGCGAAGAAACAGGAAAAAAAAAATCTGGAAAAAAAAAACATGAATCGAAGAGGAAGATGAATCTGGGCAGAACAAAGAAGAAGAGGAGGATGAATCGAAGAAGAGGAAGAAAAGAAAAAAAATCTGGACAGAACAAAAAATGAATCTGGAAAATCTGGACCTTACCGGAATGTGATCTTTGAAGGAGAGAATCGATCAGCACCTTCGATTAAACCTCTTCAGTAGCTTCGCCTCTTGGGAGCCTCTCTGTTTCAAGAAAAAGAGAGAAATAATCGAATAGAGTAGAACCCTAATTTTAATTTGTTTCATGTTTTGTTTATTACAAAAGTACCCCAAATTTATATAATTTTTTTAAATAGACCAAACAAATTACTCCAATACCCTTTAATTTGTAAAAAAATCTCGTTTTTTACCCCGAAGTTCCCAAAAACGTACTCATCTCGTACCCATCATTATACTGATCGTATAAAACGTATATAGCGATCCCGGGTTTACCCTTGTTGTACAGTGATCCGGACATGTGTCCGTGGATGTTGGATGTTGTTTATTATCTGGTTTGCATCCTTTTTACTTTGTATATTGAGTATGGGATGTGTTGGGCAGGTTTGTTACAGGTTGGTTGTGCTTGGGATTCATAAAGAGATGTAAAGGCAAGGAACAATATAATAAATAAGACCCAATCTAGTTAGCACGAGTGCGGGTACGATACAGGTATGTCGATACGGTAAATTCTTTAAAAAGTAGGATACAGATATAGCTGGGGTATGCCAATTATTATTATTATTATTATTATTATTATTATTATTATTATTATTATTATTATTATTATTTTTAATTTATAGCTAAACATCCAACATACAAATTAAAGTTTAACATCATAATTAAAAAGAGAAATTACAAAATCAAAATAATTTGCGAATTCTTTCACTTCATTCGAGTATATAATTTTTCAAATATTCAAATAACAATTTAAAACCATCAATACTATAAAAGTAATTATAATGAAACAAATACATCAGAATCAGTTTATGAACCCTAAATTTAAATGTGCAATATTTTTAGAGTACTGATACGACATGCCATAAAATATAAACGTTTCATAAAGAGATGTAAAGGCAAGGAACAATATAATAAATAAGACCCAATCTAGTTAGCACGAGTGCGGGTACGATACAGGTATGTCGATGCGGTAAATTCTTTAAAAAGTAGGATACAGATATAGCTGGGGTATGCCAATTATTATTATTATTATTATTTTTAATTTATAGCTAAACATCCAACATACAAATCAAAGTTTAACATCATAATTAAAAAGAGAAATTACAAAATCAAAATAATTTGCGAATTCTTTCACTTCATTCGAGTATATAATTTTTCAAATATTCAAATAACAATTTAAAACCATCAATACTATAAAAGTAATTATAATGAAACAAATACATCAGAATCAGTTTATGAACCCTAAATTTAAATGTTCCTTTCTTTTGTCTTCATAGATTTTAAATTTTTTTATCTTTTATTTTTATATAATTTTGATTGTGTCCACTACAAAATTATATCAGGAAAAAAATCAGATGTTGGACAGATCAGAAAAAATGATAATCAAAGAAGAGGAGATTGGCTACAAGAAAAGGTAAGAAAACTCATCGGAAACAACAAAAATCAGATGTTGGACATATTTGGTTGTTTGCTGCGAAAAAATCTAGAAAAAAAAAATCAAAGAAAAAGGAAGAAGAATCGAAGCAGAAGAGAAAGAATCGAAGAAGAGAAACTCACCCGAATATTGAGCTTTGTCGTCAACCAATACGTCGTCTTCAAAGGAAAGTATAATGGCCGAATGTGTTCTTTCTTCGAAATCATCAAGATTGTGTTCTTTGCTAGAGAAAATCGAATCAAAACAATAAACCTAATTTCAATGTGTTATGTTTTTATTATTACAAAAGAACCTCAAAGTTATTTAATTTTTTAAAATTGACCAAAAAATTGATCCATTACCCTAACAATTGTTGAAAATCTTGTTTTTTTTTTTTTTTAATCTCGGCGTATCAAAAAACGTACCCATTGTGTACCTGGCTTCTACATATCGTATAAAATGTACCCAGTGCATTTTTGCTGTACACATGTACCGGTATGCGTACTCGTACCTGATAAGTACATAGTATTTGTACGGTAACATTTTTGGAGTACCCGTAGTTCATAGGATCCAATTTAAAGTGATATAATAGAAGTTTCATAAAGAGTTATATTACAAGACTGCTTATGTCTATTGAATATAAAAGTTTGCCCCTTTGGCCCCAGTTTTTGCAAGAGAAATAATTTCTTTTCGCTTTTTATAATAAATAGAATAATTTTCAATTTACTACAACGCTCTGTTTGTTTGGGCGAAAAATATTTTCCATAAAATATTTTCCACATTTTATGACATTTGGTATGGAAGGGACTGAATGATGAGTACTTATATGGTTTTCTGTAGCTTTAACTATTATATAAGTGTTGACGGTTACTCTTGGTTCGCTCTACATCTTTTGACCGCAAAGTAGCATAGATGACCCTGTGAGCTTTATGTGCCTCTTCCAGGATTTCCCATGGGGCAGACCTTTTCCTCCGTCACGGTTTTAGTTTAGTGGTTATGGATGCCACGACCGTGGAGATGTGAGTTGCTTACTAGGCTCCATGTTATTCATCTATGGTTGAAGCTGGTACTTGCGAGAACATTTATTATCCTTGGTTGGTCTTGGCGTTGTTTAGCTTGATGTATTGGCCTGTTAGTTAGGCATTTTCTTTATGTGTTACTTTGTTGTAAATTTTCCTATGTATCCTCTCCAAAGTTCTCTTATATCTTTAATGGCTATAAAGCACAAGTACGAGTACGAGTACTAGTATTGGTATGATATGGGTACATTGATATGGTAAAATTCAAAAAAAAAATAAAATAAAATAGTGTACGGGTACGGCTTGGTACGTTTGTTAAAAAACTATTTATTTTTAATTTGGAGTAATGCAAAAATTTGTTCAATTGTTTAATGTGTTGTGTTTGGTTGTGTTGGTGGTTCATATTGGTGGCTTGTAATGTATAGTTGTTGTAGGTGCCATTTTTAATAGTATTGCTAATGTATCGCTCCTAGTTTCTTTGTCTCATTTATTGATGGCATAAGTAACTAGGGGCAAAATATATTAGTAACAAGTTTCTTTGTTTTTGTTTCTCCTCCCTATTTTAGAGGGAGTGTAGAAAATTGTATGGTTTGTAGGGAGTTTTAGTAGTTTGGAGTATGCTTTTTGTAGACTTGTATATTTTATTTTTTATTTTATGACTTACTTCCCCCCCCCCCCACCCCCACCCCCCAAAAAAAGGTACAACGGAAAACAAATTCAATAGAAAACATTTTCTTTGGTCAATGGAAAACAAACCTATTTAGGAGGAAAAAAATTTCTACTATCAAAAGGCGGAAACATTTTTCGAATCAAACTTTTATTAATGCCACCACATTACTATCACTACCTTCAGCTCCACTACTACCACAGCCACAACCACAATCGTCGTCATCGTCATCACCCACAACCACTACCGCTACTACTACCATTGCCACCACAACATTACCACCACTGCCTCTGCCGCTATCGCTATCGCCGCACAACTATCACCACCACCACCCCAACACCTCTAACGCCACCTCCATCTTGCTGCCCCCTACCACCGCCACTACCGCTGGACAACTATCCACCACCACCACCACTATCGCCGGATAACTATCACCACCACCACCCCAACACCTCCACCTCCGCCTTGCCGCCCACTACCACCACCACTAATGCAACTATTAATATATTAGTTTTAAGAACCAAACCAAACATACGAAATCATTTTGTATGAAAAACATGCCGAAATAAATAGAGTGTAAAAGATAATTTATCAATCAAGAATTTCACATTTTCCTGCCCTTTTCTTTTCCCTCCACAAATCTACACACACACACACATATATATGCTATTTTTAACCCAATGAAAAGAAGGTGGAAACAACTTCTAACTAAGGCTTTACTAGATTTTTTTCTGCATAAACTTAGAACAAACTAATAACTTGTTTGAAAGGGGGTGAAAATCTAAGAAAATAAGTAATACTGACATCTTATGCAAAAAGTTGTAACCTGAAACATGAGTTAGTGGAGTGTAAAAAAGACAATTTTTCCATCTATTTTACATTGAACTCATGGTACACGTTGTGAAAAAATAAAATAAACTTCCTTAAAGTCCCATTTCAAAAAAAAAAAAAAACTATAGATTATGGCTTAACGGATTACAGATAATAGATTTGAAAATATATATATATATATATATATATCAGCAAACCTGCAATTTCGTAAATTGAAACTCTAAAATCATAAATCAATGGTTTTAGGATTTAATTAAAAAAATGAAAAAATGGCAAACAATTAATGCAAGTATATATGTCTGTCAAAAACGCTGTTGTCCCAGATTTATCAGTCTAGAATTTTCTGGGTGAGGTGTTTTGTGTTGTGGAGATTGAATTGATGTAGTGTCAGTATAAGTATAAAATGAGTCTAAGCCACAAATTGATGTTTCTGAGTAAATTTGGAGTAAAACTTCGAGAGAGAGAGAGAGAGAGAGAGAGAGAGAAGAATGAACGAAGAGAGTGAAGAAGCTCTTCTAGGTTTAGTTGTGAAGATGAAACGAAGACGAAGGAAATTTGGGTCTGCACATAAAAACAGTTACCCTAGATGAGGCCCAATACCCCGGCCTGCCCAACTCAGTTTTATATTTTTTAAAGGAAACTTATCAGTAGGTCCATATTCAAAATTCAAAACTCATTTAATCTTAAAATAAAATATTTGTACCAATTAATCTTACATATTTTTAATTGCTATTATTTTTTTAAAAAATAATAATAATTTAAAGATGTTGGTACATTTTATCACTGACAAACTTCCGTCAGATGGTCACTAGAAGCTCAATGGAATGGTTAACATCATCGAGAAGTTGTTGGAGTATTGCCAGAGTGTTCTGAACATCATTGGAAGTCACTTGAATGTCCACAACGTTCAATGGACATTAAGAATATCGTCGGAAACTCACCGGAATGTTCAGAATATTGTTAGAAAAAAGAGAGAAATTAGAGCTAAAAACATAGCAAAATGTGTTAAATATTGATAAACTGAAAGGAAAAAAATGTAACAACATCAATGGGAAAAAAAACTTATGTTATTTTTCAATTTTTGTAAAGTTTAAGCAAATAATCTTTAATATTCATCAAACTGAAAATCAAGTTTTGAAACTGTAAAAT